CACTTCGAAATGAGATATTCTCAATGAAATGACAGCTAAAAGAATCCATTCCAGGGAGCTTCAAGTATTAAAATGTTCGAAGTTGAATAGAACAGAGTGAGAATTCATCTATCGCTATCAGAACGAATCAGCTTCATAATCATGCGCATTTCAACAAATTGCACAATTTCCGTTCACCTTACGTAACTCGCTGTTGTCCATCCAAACCCTCCACGGTATTGCTAACGAACTATTCAACCACTGATCATAAATGCGTTTCTTTCGATCATCCGTCAAAATTTCCTGCAGTACCAAATTGGCTTGAATGACGGGGTTGAAAAGCACTTAAAGAATCGTTTATTTGGTGACCAGTAACGATAACGAAAGTTCGAATCGCAAACGATATGCAACAGAAATGAAACATTGTAAACCTTTGCTTGTTGTAACTTGATAAAACGTTCGTTAACGAGTTCAGGTTCGCTGGCAGCCGAATCGCTCGTGTCAGGATGGAAATCGCGCACTCGGGCTCGATATTCGGCGAGTATTTGTGGAATCTATAACCCATGGGATCTGAGTGAACCTCTCGAACTCAGACAACAGAACAAGAGAACACATGCATAGACTTTCCTATAAATATCAATTACTCTCAAAACCCTCACCGTTGCTGTTTTCGCACACCCAAGAATGGCGTACAATTCATCCGGTTCTGATGTCGACCCATCACAAAGAATTGAATCAACGATACTATTTGTGCTTATCATGGAATCGCTACTGCAAAGAATCATCTGTCACATTTGCATTATGTTAAATCACGTTAGACAAAAACACCATTTGGTTCTTTTTTGAAGATTACTCGCAAGGTATATGAATCAACAACAAGCGAACTACCTCCAAACCTCTCACATATTCTCAGTGAATGAAACCAAGCGTAATGTCAAAAATGAATAGTATGAGAAAATAAATGAGATAACTAAAAGTTGAATGCATAACCATATAATACTACAGAAGAAAATATTTCCTGACAGCAAAATTTTATTTCCAAATTATAAATCATTAACAAACTGCATAAAATTTCAGAAAAAAATTTAACGAACAACAATCAAACAAATAACAAAACAACAATAACAAATGATAAACTGGCGA